CAAAATAACATTATGTATTGATCCACAAAGAGAAAAGGTAGGATAAGATTAAATAACATAAATTGAGAGGGAATGAGATAAGCTGGAATGCAATGAATTGAGTTGAGATGAGTTGAGACAAGATGATGGTAAATGAGATGATCCGATATGAGAGAAACGAGATGAATCTAGATCAGCTGAGACGGAATGATATGATAAATGAAATGAGTTTAGTTCAAATGATAGGAGATGAGATTAATTTTGATATGATGAGATGAGATAAGATGAAATGATATCGTTGATTTAGCATATTTGTTTTATTAAATGTTCATAATTGTGGATTCTATGATTGTTTAGTTGGCCAATTCTGCATATCCACTTTTGCTGTTAATGCATCTGCATAATTTAGACTACTTGAGATTCTTATTAAACCGGTACAAATCTATTTTGTATGTGATTTAGCAAAGATAAAGTTAAATTGAAAATAATTTTACTCGTTTTACTCGCCTGTTTGCTCAATTGTTCCTCACAGATTTTGTAGAGCATAAAGAATTTCCGCGAAAGTGACATATTCTCTGCGAATCCACAGGCTGCCAGTTTGACGCGAATAATGATCTGTCTATCGGGCACCATCATGGCGACTGAGCGGAAATTCATCTTTAGGTTCTCCGGCAACTCTTGTCTGCCAGCGTAGCCGGGGTTCTACATCGGGAAAGACAATAGACAGAGAATAAACGCGATTAGACAATTGGCGCTTGTAGCGACTCTGCCCAAACTTTTCTCCCCACACCAGCCCGATCTGACTTCTCGACTCTGATCCTGTTTTCCTAATCGGCATTCTCATCTGCCATCGAATTCAGACTTGACCAATCAGCGCAATCACTCAACCCCGAAGGTACTACTCCATCCAATCGGCTTTCTTCCATCACTTTGCTTTTGAAGTAGATTTTCGAGATCCCCAGCAATGCCGCAAAGAAACGTCACCCAATTTGGTTCAGGGCAATAAAGGGTTAGCAACTGAAGTTTCCCATGACGACACAATGAGGCTTCACTTTTGCTTTGGAGCTCACAATTGCTTGCTTCCAAAAAGACATTATCCATTCCGACTGGAGCCGACAACAGCTTCGACCCCGCCTCGGATGGTCTCGTCAGCACGCCCAGTCGGACTCGAACTCTGGTCGTGGTTGCGCAGCAAATGCAATCTCGACGCGATAACCCCTACGCTGCAGTTAGGCAAGAGGACCGAAGCCCAGGCCGCCTCCAAATCACATTCTGCGACGGGGTTGTCGATGAGGCAAGTTTGTATTTGCTATGACGATCGAGTAAATTAGTTATTTGCCACAAAATGGGAAAATTTAATTACCAGTCCTTCATCAGAGATTGGCAAGTTAGCCTCAACGGATACCAAAGACGGGTTGGTTTATGCTTTTGTCTGTTGGATTGTGCCAATATGACCTCGGCTCTCCGTCCTGCCAGCCAGAACCATCCGCGCTGACCTTTTGTCTGTCGTGGAACGGACATCGTCAGAGGCAGAAGCATGATTTACGAAAAAATGACCAAAATAACACCAAAAAAGGTGGCCAGCTGAGATCCCACTTGCACCCTCTGGCGTGGTTCACTGTTTTCCGTTTCTCCCACTTTCGTGCTTGCGAGTGCAAGTGATGTAGAAA